TCCCTTCCAATGGAGGGATTTTTTTTTTTCTTTAAGAAGGCAGGAAAAAAGTTAAGCTTTTCTACAAGGAAAGTCTGCTTTTTATGCTTAGGACAATTCAAACACCTGCTTATATAAAAAAATATAAAAGAATAAAGGAGTAGAGTCTTGGAATTTTTAGACATTTGCCCCAATAAAAAAAACCAAATATCTATTTATGGGAACTAAAATGTAGAACAGCACAATACTGTGATATTTGAGATCATGATACATTACCTGTACATATACTTAACTATTCATGTTATTGATAAACCATTAGGACACTCAATTATATACCCAATAAAAACACCATTAAGAGTCTTTAGAACTGTCCCTTCTTCTTTCTGAAGAAGGCATTTCTATACACTAATTTTTCATCTAGTATCAGAGTATAGGAAACAGAATCCACAAGGTGCTTTAATTGATGAGACCTCAAGTGCTGTTTTCTTTTTTTTTTTCTTTTTTCTTTTTTTTTCTTCCTTTTTCATTTTTTTTTAAACTTTTTGGATAGTAAACAGTTCATGGGGACCACACACAAATACTATGACAGACGAGCTGTTATATTAAGTCTGTTGACTGGACTTGGTATTTAGCCCACTGGTAATGGAGGAAGGAGTTTTACGACATGCTGGAGCAGCGTACTGAAGGGGAGCCCATCTGAGTCAATACTTTGTCCAACCATTGCAGAGGTCCGTTCAGATGGAGCTCAATCCAGCAGGGAGTGCTTGTGACCGTCTGCCGCCTGCAGAAGGAAGGGGAATAGAAGAGTCAGAAAGCAGCTTTGGTTACCATAAAGGTCTCCATCACCTCATCAAATGTTTCCATCCGTATGCACCACACAAAGATAAAAATCTGAAACTATTACATAACTACACTAAGGTTTTTCAGATAGTCCTTGCAAAAACACCCCAAACCTGTCAACCATTACAGTCATATCTTCAGTGTTCCAAATGGAGTTTTACTCTGCAGATTAAAACCACAGGAATTGCTCCAAGTGTCCTATCAGAAGTCCTACTTTCAAAAGAGATTCAGAATTGAAGATGAGCTGGTGTTCACACCACAGTCAGCCTGACACAGCTGGTATCATAATCTTCAAAGAGTTTGCGTGCATAACTGGGCTTGAATTTAGAAGACAAGTACAGAAAAAGAAGAAACAGAAACCCTTTGCTCTGCAGGGTCAGCAAGGCTGCCTGGCACAGTACTATCACAATCACAAGGACTGTTTTTTTAGAGCAATCGTTAAGAGATATGTAAAAGGGAACTGCACGGGCCGCTGTCAAAAACACTGCATCGTGACACAGTACGTGGTTACACAGTGTTAAGAGATGCTATCTCAAAGGAACACCAAACTTTGTCTCCGATTTCCTGTATTTATACTTCTACATTTGTTTTGTACTATAGCATCCTCACGCAAACCATTTAAGTAAGATTTTTTATGTTTCCTTTGTCTTCTATATAAACATCTCTATTTTTCCAGGATAGAAGCCTTTAATTAAACATCACATAGAAAGCCTCAATAATGCTTTGAAGGGTTGAAGGGTTTGACAACTTGCACTCATTCTGCTGTGTGTTTTTGTTTTAGGGATCTGCTGTTCAAAAGTCTTCCCTCCCATTTCCAAGTTAAATTGGGATTGGACATCCTCTACATGAGAAATCCTGTTTTTCCACACTACGCACTCCAGGCATAGGAGTTTTCTTGAACTAGAACGACAGCACTGCTGCTGCTAAGCCCATTCCTGGTAATTCCAACTATTTCAAAGTCAAAGAAAGTCATAAAGATTCAATGGCAGATTAACGCGGCACAAATACAACCCCCATTCATTTCTGGTGCTGGCACTGCACCCCTCTGCCTTAAATAAATCTGTTTATATAAACAAGAGGAACTGTAAAGGCAGAAAAGTTAAGCCAGCGAGTGGACGGATTTCAAGAGTTGTCTGTGGTTTTTACATTTCCTAGGACAAGAGAGCGGCTGGGGTCTGCACTCTCTCAGCGTTCCGAAAAACACTGTTATCTTAGTCCCAAATGCCGATGCCAAAACAAAGTGATCCAATAAAAGAACAATCTAAACCACAGGAAATACAATTCCATTTAGTCTCAAATCCTCTCCCAAAGAAGGAAGTACATTATTCCACTGCTGTCAACTCCCCTGCCATGTGTTCCATACCATACTTCCTCTCTGCTTTGTAACTGGTTTGGTTCAACAGCCCTAACTCTTCACAGAACTGGCAAAAGAGAAAATAGTGGCAGCCCCTTAATGGTCTGCTCAAAGTTAGAATTCAGTTATTTTACCCATGAGTTTCCAGTTTGCACATCACATCAGTTCTTTGCTATAGTTACTTCTACTTAACTTTCTTCCAAAGATGATTCTGTGTGTTCTAACCTCATCCTCAATGCAAGCCAATAACATATCAAACAAACATTTTAACTACTGGTCTGACTGGATTGATTTTACCCCACTTCACCAACTATTTTGACAATTCAAACTGTAACCATTAAATTCACAGTCGTGTTGATAGCAGCAATATCTTCTTGCTCTCACCACCACTGCAGCACAACCTAGAAGTCTCCTGTATTGATAATTTAACAGTGCTGTAATGAACAGACACAAATTTACAGCTTTATTCCAGTCCCAATTCTGCTCTCTTCTGGCAAGCTTTCCACTGGAACCTCTTCAACCCTATGATCTCTGAAGGGTTCACAGATTACTAACAACCAACATTTTCCCTCTTTAGAAACAAAAGCTTCCCCTTTAACAAAAGCCTCCCCACTGTTCTAACCCGGCACTGGCACTACATTCACTTCCAAGTTGTCTCTGTATCATCTGACTGATTAAGCCTTTCTTCTGTTCCGATTTGAATGTTGTATTTAATTATGCCTAAGTGTATACATACTCCTTTTGAGCCAAATTCAACAGTTCTTTAAACTCAGGTCAGATTTTTTTTTTTCTTCTGTACCTCTCACCAACAAAGAGGTACCAATTTATTCCATTACTCAAATATCGCATTTCATCTAACTAGGTTTTTACAAAACTGGCTTCACTTAGCTGAGAGTCCTCCCCCACATATCGGTGCTCACATCTACGTGGATATTTTGCAAGGCAGATAAAAGAATCAAAAGACCAGGATCTGCTGCGCAACCAACACCGTAACATTCAACTTCAAAATCAGGAACACTTTGGATTAAAAAAAAAAGTAATTAGGTATTGCAATGGGATATGATGTGATGATATTTCTATTCTTTCAGGGAATATTTTTTAGATCTGTTTAGGGGATTCTTTTTTTAAACCACCATCTCTAAACTCTCCAAAACAATGAAGTCTTCTTTAAAACTGCTCAGTTAGAAGAAGTCAGATGTTTTTCCCTCCCAGCTCCCATGTTACATTAAAAACAGGCACCATCCTAAGTTAGCTTTTAGTTTTGCTAATAGAGAATAAAATTGGAATCCACTCAAAGGCAGAGAAAGGACAATTTTTTCCCCACTCAAAAAATCATTTTTAGCTGTTGTACCGCATACAGGCACAGAGTCATCTTACTCCTGCAAACTTTTTCCGCTGTGAGTTCCAAAGTATTTGCCATCCCTTAAACGTGTCTTCTCCAGCTGTTTTATTCTGCACAATGGCCTAAGAGTCGCTCCAGTTTTCTCCCTCGGGTACCATCTACTGAATCCAACACCACATCCTAAACAGCTCCCTACACTCCACACAGAGCCTAAAATGACAGTAGGTTTAGCAAATAATTATAGCACAAACATTGAAATTTCTGGATGCAGTCTGTGTTTTCCACTGACCACAACAAGCAAGCAGGGCTGATTGGTGAACTTTGATGACATTTCTTGCTCAACAGCTAACTTCCATGCAATGTGAAAATCAGGTTACTTGTCTTACTGACTTGGAAGCTCCACAGTTGCAGGGAGAGGAAAAAGATTGTGCGTTCAACCTTCAGAGAGAGTATCTATATTAATGGCAAGAATCCATGGCTTTGGAGCCGGACAGAAACAGAGCACTGCCGAAACAAGAAAATGATTAAAGAGCACAGATTTTTTTTTTTCTTACCTGTATTCAGCTCCCCATCCTTTAACAAAGCTCATTCTTATGGTACACATTCTAGTAAGTTGATAGACTGCTTCAAAACCCTGATTCACAGATTGAGCCAGAAGAGCAGCAAATTCCTGGTTATTAAAGATTTTTAGATTGCATCCTACAAAGAAAAGAATAAAAATCATAGAGGTACAATTAATGTATACTCATACTCGTTACACAGGAGCCCAAAACTGTGAAGAAATCCCTCCTACGCGTCCAAAGAACAGCAAATAAATGCATGCACTGGATTTGGGGGGGAATAAAAGACCTTTTCAGACTACTAACCTGGTGGAATTTTGCACACAGTTGCAGGATGCCAGCCGTATCTTTGATTACAGTTGGGGCTCTGAACAAAAATTGCACTATCACTTAGGCACTCAGCAAAAACTTCCCCACCAATGTAGTAGAGACGTACTCCCCTTCCTGTAACAAACCCAAAGGAACTCCAGTTACGATACGACCCAAATAGATTTACAAACAAGAAAGGGTTTTTCTTCCTTTTTTTTTTTTTTCTCCCAGAGAAGGACAAGGTTTTTCTTTACAACAGCAGCAGAAATCAGTTATCTAGATGACCAGACTGCTGGGCTGACAGCTGTAGCGAGAGCAGAGCACGACTAGCATTTTTTTTCCTCTTTCAAACACCCACCATTTGAAGGAAAAATGTAAAAATATTTGGTCAAGAGGGAGCTTGAATTTTCTACCACGAAAGGGCTTGCAACCAAGTCCAGGCTGGGAAGCAGAGATCATTCCTAAAGAACTTTTTCACTTGAAGAAATACTTAGAATTGGAGTAAAAGGAGGATCCAATCGACATTATCAAAATTTATGCTGGCACTAAATACTGTATGTTTAAAGCAGCACACCACTGATAATGAGAGGGGAGGAAGCGAAAAAGAAAAAAAGGCAAATTATTCCCCTCTACAGACTCATCCCATGCACTCACACTACTAAGTAACCCACCTTGTAACTCTTTTCCCTATTTCTTTGTCAAAACCAATGGGACTTCAATCAGCCCTATTACTAAAATAGATCCCAAAGCTACCCCCTTCACTTCTAAATGATGGCCTTGTTCTGAGTCGGGAAAAAAAAAAAAAAACAGATATTCTGGCACACAAAAAAGCAGTAATAAAGGACTGATCTCTAAAACAAGCTGCTTATGATTAACACATCTTTTAAAGGTCCTTGTTTCTAAGAATCCCTCTCCCTCTTTTCTTTTGAAAAAAAAATTTCAAACAAAATGATCTTCTCTTAAAAACCTCCTTACATGTTCGCTTTTCCTCATCATTAACCATTTGGATCAGCCAGCACAGGCATATCCTGGATTTCTCCACATCTAAATTTTAATACATAAACATTTGGATTTAGGGTGGGAGGAATCAGAAGCTTCTGTTAAAGAGGTTTCAGTAAAAAATAAACACACTCATGAATACCACCAAATGAAGAAAACCCCCAAAATTCAGCAAAAATTAAAATATAGTTTGACAAAAACTTAAAAGATGCTGCAAATGACATTCATTATTAACAGTTTCAAAGAAAATCTTGATCATGTCAAAACAGCACGTTGCCCCAGTGGCAGCTTTTCACATTTCAGAAAAGTCAAGAGGTACTGCGTATGTCCAATTTGCATTTTAAAGGTTAGAATAAACTGAGCAACCTTTTGGTATTTTCTAATTACACCTTAAAAGTCAACTATAAACAAATATGAATTTAAGTGCTACCCAGGGCAGTGCAGTCCAGCAAGGCACCCGAAGGCCACAACCTGCCCACGGGTGCTTCTGTTCAGCACATCATCTTCCAAAAGGCTGGAAACAGCTACGTGAGCAACCAAAAATACCTGTACAGGTGAGTGCTTCCTCCTGTGCCTGCTCTCAGCCTGACAGCTGTGACACTGCTGCTGTCACCACCTTGGAGATACTGACAGAAAAAAGGCAGCAGCTCCTTTCATCTTCAGACATCACTAAAACTCCCCTTCTGTACCAGAAGCTGCTGCATTTCTCTCTGGGTTGGGCACTGGGAACTTCTGCATCTTTTCACTTCTGTCCCTAGCAGGAGCAAATCATGCTCTCTAGAACAAGCCTCGAGGGAGATGTTCAACTGCTGGGTGCACAAGGGTAAAACGTGCCTGAAGGACAGCTCTGCTCATCCTGCTTCCATTGCCTCAGTTTAATGGTTAAAATGAGATCAAATAGTTAAAAGATCAACGATTTTTTACCTATGTGTCGCCTTGTCATTTCCACTGTAGCATTTCTGTTTACATTGGAAAGCAGACCTAGACAAAATCGTTCTGAATTTGATGGATCTGTAAAGCCATCTACAGTCAGTGAAGGTTGCGAAGCATGGAAGGTTTCTCCTACTCTTTGATTCAATTCATAATATGCTATTGAACACCAGAACGCAGGCTCTGAATAAGTAACTGGTTGCAAGTCTAAAAAAAAAAAAAAAAATGAGACAAGCAAATAAAAGCAATGGAGAATTTGAGGCTGAAAAGAAACCTCTCTGCCCTGTTACTCGTCTCCTCCAGGAAGGACAGGTGTAGACTTCTCACACTACTCCAATTAAATCTTGCTTGGCATTGTATTTATCTACCCCAGTAAACAGAACAGAATTGAAGGGGTGGAGGATAAGGGAATATAGGAAAATAGGAAGAGGATTACAGAAGGAGGAGAAAGGGTGACCTAATCTGACAGCAGTCCTTGTACTTCAGTACCTGTGTTTTTGCTCAGCAAAATAGTTAAGCTAAACATAGTGACAAATAGCGAATGACAGATATTGAGGCACCTCTGTTATCTTTCTGTAGCTTGCAAGGACTTTGACAATATTAAAGTGAAATTATCAAACACTGAACACAGAACAAAAATGATTAATAAGAAAGTGATCTATGTTATCTTATTTCTTTATGTTATCTTATCTCTTATTTTATGTTATTTCCATTTTTCCTCTCCCTCTTACAAGGCACTTCTAAATTCCTTTTATTCTCCTTTCCACACCTCAGCAATTTCCCTGTGCATCTTCAGCTTTTGCTGCTTTACTTCCCCTTGTAACCTGGCCTAATTACTCACTCTGCGTTCTGAGCACCATGTTCCTGTCCTATCAGCTCCCCATTCCTTAAGCCAATCCCAGGGAATCTGATCTTCCCTAGGCACTGAACACACTCAGCAATGGCACCTGATCAAAGCAGGTCGGTAGCTAACGTGGGAGCAACTATTGTCTTGTTGTCCCAGGTGAAATAGTGCGTTAGGAGAACAGCAGAACAGCCGCACACAGCAAGACAGCAGGTCTGGGGAGCTTCGATGGCCTCCATTAAGACTAGATACTGTCCTTTAAGTTACCCTTTATGTTACAAATGCAGCTCCTGCCTTTGCTAGGAGCTCAAGCGTTACGGGGGTAACTAGCACTCGTTACTAACCCAAACATATTGCATTTATTGGGAAGTGAACCCAGAAGTCTCCTCCTACTCCCACTCTTTTGAGAGCACATTTTTAACATAATTAACGTATAGAAAGGAGGGATCACACACACACAAACAATTGAAAGTATTTCCATCTTACCCAGGCTGTGATTAACTGGGGAGAGAGTACTAGGAGACAGCTCTGCTGGAGATCCTGTTGGAGCAAAACGGATGGCTTCAGTATCCAAACAATTCTCAGTATCTCAAATGGGAAGGCATGACCATTATCTAGGTACTAGCTTTACACTACAATTACTTGGAATTAAGAAACCTCACTAATCCTACAACCAGTTTTCCAGTATGTCACATCCTCATTTTAAATTAAGACTACATTTAATTTTCCAGACACCTGGGAACCTAAACTCGGCTCACAGAGATTCTGTTAATGTCTTAGTATTGCATTTGGCAGATCTCGCTGCATGCACACTATGTGAATATATACTTATGTACAGTATTTACAATCCAGTGAGAAATCAATGACTTCTTCCAAGATTCAATCAGAACAGCCACGAAAAAGTGGACAGAAAAAGACAACTGAGGTTACTTCTCTGTTTTCAGAGGAGAAGATTTATCTCTAGAAAAGAACAAATTGTATTTCCTCGTTTGAGGCAAGAGGAAGAAACAGCCTCAGAAAAACATGGATTCCCCAATGCAATCTGAGCACCAGTAGGCAAAATGTAGGTGCAAAGAGGGGTTGCACAGAAACTTTCCTACACTTACTGCTGAAGCCAGGGTTTTAAGGTACCCACTGTCACACAGTGGGAAAACACTGCAGTTCTTACATAAGTTAGCGCAGTTGATTCCAATTAACTGAAAAAGGAAGCTAACATTAGCTAACCAAAAACTCTCTCAAGCCTGCCAGCACACAGTAGGAGGTTCTTATCCAACATGTGAACTATTCTTCATCCAAGGCTAAAGTCAAACAGATTATCTAGACACAAAGACACTCCTATTCTTTCAGTAGAGCCTTCTATACAATAACTCATGTGAAATATGGCAGAAATGATAAGGTATCAGGGACAGGTTCTTTAAAAGTAGCTTTCCTGCAACCTTTTTAGGCCTACAGACATCTTGTCTCCAAATAACCTAACATCTTCCTGCTTGTCTTCAGCAGGGGAAGCCAGGGGTACGTTGAAAACAGCCAACTTTCAAAGTCTATTTTAAAGCTTTCCAGCGAAGATTTCAGATTTGTAGGTATTTGTTATGAACTAAATGAATGTGACTTAATACGGCAGAATACCTCTAAAAATATGACCCTAGCAGATGTAATTTTGTCCACAAAAAAAAATGATAGCGGTAATTTCAAGATCAGATTACACAGAGGAGATCATCCATCCTCATTTGAGCTAAATTCACGACACTGTGTAGATGAATCCCAGCTAGTAATCCCTGTTCCTGAAAATGGTTAAAAAGAGAAATCTTACCTGTATCCATGCTTTGGTTCAACTGCTGGTCACTTGTCTCTCCATCTTCACTGATGTATCCTGGAGGTGGTGTTTCTGTCAAAAAAATATCCATTTATTGGTTCAATGGCAGGAGAAGTTTGTAAGATTTGCCATTTTGGGGTTTTGTCCTTAGGTTGTCATGAGCCTCACATGTTACCTAAGCACTGAGTTAGAATTTTACTTTTCAGGCCTTTTTCCCTTCCAGTAGGACTTCAGACCCATTAAATGTCCATTGCCTACATAAATCATATTCTCTTGTATGTCTATCAACTGCTTACTGGGCAAAGTTACACGATTCATGGACAATCCTTGTTTATTCCACACAAGGCAGGACACTTTCACTACAATGAGTAACAATTTTGCAGCTGTGATCAACACCTTTCACATTTACCAGAATTACAAACAAGAAAACCATCTGGTGATTTCTACAGAAAAACATGAGCTGCCTTATGTAGTAGAACCGTAGGATCTGATTCCCTCCCACAGGTTAGAAGCTGCTAGATTTAATAAAAACTATCTTCCAATTCAACCCCCTCCCAAACTATTTTTCCTTAACACCCAACAATTGATTTCACTCATTAAATGCAGCTATATTATCTAACCAGTTTCCCTTCATAAAACTCTGTTTTTGCTTTTATTATTCCAACTTCCAAGTTCTATAAAAAGGAACATCTCTTCCCTCAACTAACTTTCTTTTAAGAAGGTGCTTCACAGACTGAAGTAAACTCTGCAACAAGTTTGAAGCATTTTGATACTTGAAACTGTGTCTATTTGTAGAAAAGAATCTAAAAATACCAGAGAGCATAGCTGTTCTTTTTCTCCATTCAAAAATTTACTTTGCAATCCAGAAAATGAGTTAACCAACTGCTGTTCAGGAAATAATTGTCTTTGAACCGGACAAGTGTTTTTTCCTATAAATTAAAGGCAGAACCTCAATTTCTCCAGTGAAAGTGTTTGATTGTAACTAATCTCTGCTACAGTCACAGAATTGTCATTGAGACAGAGAATAAACACATTTAATTACAATGTTGCCAAAAAGCAGACATGTGAAGCTAGTTTTTCGCTTAAGAATTAAAATCAAATTTTATGAAGTATCACAGATTCACAGCAAGACAAGATCAGAATTAAATCAGCAGGAGGAAACTCGATTAAATAAAAATGAACTGAAAAATTACCTCTTTCGTGCATTCCATAAAACTATCATGCCAAATATTAGAGACTCATGACAAAGAAAACTCAAATGAGCATTTAAAATGAAGATTAAGGAAAACCTCTGCTAGAAAGGAGTATGATGATAAAAAAAAAATGCTGTTTTGAACATTTTTATACAATAAAGTGGGCTCCACCCACCTCTGAGTAACTTGTTATAGTTAAACCCACAGCCATGGTAAAGGTCAATAACCATTTCCAATCTAACCCACACCTCCTGTTTCCAGTTGCTAATCTAGGCTCTTCAGCACAGACAATTTCCATATCTAGTCTATCTGAACAGATATTTCCCCCACCTAGTACTATTAATACAGTTTTTGGGTCAGAGGTTGAGCGCAAACACAGCTGGAAATAAATGCTCAAACACAGTGTTAAAAACCCCTAGCAGAGGGAATACTGCCAAAGCGGTGGACAACGCTGTTCAGAACGAGGATAGTTTGGAAGGGAACATGCTGCCCCAAAAGGCTTCCATGGTCCCCACCTGCCCAACAAGCATACGGTGTAGGTGTCACCTAGGGCATAGGTGACACCAATTTCTATGTAGATGGAGGAGGGTGGCAGCGTCGCAGTGCGGAGCTACCACGGCTGTTACTCGGGTCAGCAGCCACAGAAAAAGGATCTCTGCAACAGGCTCTGAAGACACATGAGACTTATCAGAACCTGTTAAGCACTTCAGATTAGTTAGCCAGGTCAAACACAGCAGGACTCCACAATATGAACTGAAAAGAAAAGGGTTAATGGCAAGGAGAGGAAAAACCCCTTCAGAAATTCAAGCTGTGGGGAGCTGCGTAAGCACTGGAAGATCACATGAATACTCACGGCCTCCTTCAGACTGCTTGCAAATTACTGTCTAGAGCTGCTTTAGCTCATTTACCTAATGCACTGAATTTTCAGATGGTTGTTTTCCAGTAAGGTGTCTGCACTCACTATGAAAAGCCCTCAAACACATGCGGGGAAAAAAAAAATTAAAAAGTGACACCAATTTCCAATACTTTAAATTGCTCTCAAAAGATCTGCTCTCCTAAGCTGGAACAAACGTGGTACCAACTAAACATGCCAGACATCAAATAAACTGAGATTTCAGATGCCATTTCATTCTGAGATATATTTAAGAAAATGCAAACACCCTTCTGCTTAAGACATGTACATACGCTTTGTACACTACACATTTTGATGCTCAAGGTAGTAATCTTATTTTCTGAATTTTTAGCATATTCATCAGTTTTTGGATACTACAAGGTAGTTGCATTAAACGTTAGTGAGAAAATTTCAACTTTGAGTGGTTTCACATGCTAGGCAACTTCCTGAAGAGACAGGAAACAGGAACTTAGGGCAGGAAACAGTTGCTGATTTCACTTAACAATATGGACACGTGCATATGTACGCCCAGGAGCGGCCTGATACTTTCTTGGCGTGAGGACGAAGCAAACAGGTGAAGGAGGAATTATTTCACATTTTATTACATTGTTCTTCCATATTAAAAAAGGACACAGGGTATATGGACATAACAGGAGCAAACACGCGAACAAGACTTCCATCAGTTGCAACCTGTAGTTTGAGAACAACCCAGAACTTTCAGCTGCCAGAACAGTGACATAAAAGGTTTTCTCCCAGTCATATACTTATGTGCTAAGAAACTGAGCAGCAGTTCACTGCTCAGCCTCCAATATATAGCATTTGGCAACCTCTATATGTTTTGTAAAACAGGCTTAAAGCATGAGGCAAAGGTCCACTTAAATTCACTAGTGTTTTGAAACCTAAGCTAGCTTATTGAATTCACACAACTGCACATGTGGTTTCGCACAGGATTGTGCTTTGCAAATAACTACCATCAGATATTTCAAGAGGAATACATTCATCCACAAAATAAAAAAAAATAATAAAAAAATGTGTACTTGTGCATCTTCCAAGCCGTTTGGTCATTTAGGAGGATGAAATTCCCATCTGTTTTCAATGGTACAATGTTAAGCATACTGTTCACAGTTAAAGTTAAGAAAATACCTGGTATGTAATTGCTCTGTGGTTCAATTCCAGCTGGAAAGTTAGTGTTTTCAGGAATGGAATGGGTATAGTCATCGAGAGGTGGAAGTTCTGTCAGGATCTCGGTGTGCCGAGGCACTAGCACAGGAGGCAAGACTGGGAAAGAAAGTTTTAAAGCATTAGTTAGACTCAAAAAAATACACACTTCACTTCTCTGAGCCAAAAGGGAAAAAAAATCAAAAAAGTCTAAAAATGTCTTTTTATTTCTTGAAGATTTCTAATTGTTAGCTATCCAAAACTGATCGATGATGTCCCTCTTGAGTAAAATTACTCTGTATTAGCTAAGATACATTTCCATTCTCATTTTTGATCATACTTAGCCAACTGGAAATTGCTAGTAGTGCTGAAAACATTTATCAAAAGCATTCAACGCATTTGTGAAGTATGGATTTTTCAGTAGCTTTACTATTAAAAACATTCAGTTGTTAGTATTCCTCAAAATCTGTATTTTCAATCATCTTGCAGTTCTGGCAAGAGGACATATCCTCCCTCTCTATTTTTCATTTAAAACATTATGCTGAATAAGTACAGACAGATGCTGCTATAGAATGGCCGAAAGTCTTCCTACCTGGTGTTTCCACTCTCTGGTAGTGGTAAGGGTTTACACATACTTCATCCTTTTTAAGATTAAAAGCATATTCACAGTTTTCGATTGCTTTAAGTTCATGGTGACTGTGCAGATCTGGCCAGCGCCACAAGCGACAGTAAATAACATGTGGTAATCCTTTACGATGAGATACCTGTAGACGGCCATCGAGAGATCTATATGGGAAAGACGTGAAGAAGAATTTATAGACTGCATGCTGCCTCAGTCACCTACACAACAGCGTACGCGTATGGGATGGGTAGCTTGTTTATTCTCAGAATTCTGTGGATTGGCACTGTTAGCGACATTTATATGCTTGCTAAAAGGCTTCAAATTGCAAGAAAAATGATAACATCGAACAATGCTTTAAATTATTTTTGAGCTGCAAAAATTACTGCCAGTGAGTTTGGGATTCACTGAAAAGCCACTTTACCTCCAAGTATTTAAGATGATTGCTTCATATACAATTTTTAGATAAGATGGTTGTTAAAAAGTATATATATACACACACATTTAATACTCCCTTGAGTTCCTAAACCCCTTAGCTTTGCTGTGGCATGGATACGTTATGGCTTTAAGCACAAAAATTCCCACAGGACTGCAAATAAGCCTAGAAGCAGTCAGTTGCCCAAGGGATCCACATGGCAGTGCAACTGTAATGCAAAAAGCACGAATGCACGTCTTGCAAGGGCTATACAGTTCATCTTGACTTCATCTGCCTTGCTACCAGCTGAAAACGTTTTGCTAGTTTTAAGACAAGACTGCATATGCTTACACAAATGCAGATGTTTATGATTGTTATGGGATGGGAGACAAACCTCAATACACAAATTAAGTAATGTGACATGAAAAAATAAAGACCCTGTTTAGAATTTGCCCACCATATTAGCTACTGAAGAATTTACAAACAATTCTGTAGTAGCTCATAGCTGATCCAATTAGCGAGATTTAACTGAAAGCTTGTGGCATACAAAGCAGTTTAAACACTTTGTAAGATTAGGTCTAGAAGAACTAAGCATCTCAAGTTTGTTAATACAAGTACCAAATCACATTAGAGCTTGCATTTAACAAGTCTTCCCATTCTTTCTATGGCACTGGCGTGAAAAAAGGAGTACTCCAGGATTAGAATTTCATTGGTCAAAACATCAGCTGAGAACATTTAGATTTCCATACTGGCAAGCAATTATTTTAAAATGCTGTACCACGAGAGGCCTAGGAAGCATTTTAGTCTATTTTACAGCTAAAGCATCCCACTACAGACCCTCCAAAGCCAATCCCTCCCACGAGACTTCTATGAGGCGAGAGAGGGCAGAATATTCACCTGGTTTGTTCAGAGAAGCTGTAAAGGCCTGTTGTATCCCACTGATCTATCGTGTTTGGTGTACTCAGTCCCCAAATTTCAGAGCAAGTGCTGTGCATAAATTGAAAACAAAAAACAAAAAATTGATATGAATATGGAACATGGTTATTCAAAACACCATGATGTCAAACATGGAAAAATGTACAAAGTAGGTCCTTTCACATAGAAGATAAAGCATCATCACGTTTGCACTTAAACTGGCATCTAATGCTATATTTTCTATATGAAGGAGGCTATTAAAATGGAACACGTGATTCAAGGTAAATGATAATGTTTTTAAAAGGTGAACAAGTTATCTGGTTTTAAGTAGTTGGTACAGTTGTAATGCTCCTTAAAACAGGCAAAACTTCCTCAGCCTAGCTCTTAACAAAACTCAGTTTTAAAGGGGAGGTTCAGGGTTGCTCCTTTTTGTTTGTTTTTAAGCATAAACTTATCTAATCTTTCAAACAAGCACCACGGGTGGCTGAAATTGAACTGTCATAGCCTAATTCTTAAGGTATCACCACTTCAGTATCAACCTCATTCTCCATGCAGATACTAACTGGCTGCTTTTCCCAACACAGCTAAATTTGGACTCTGAGGAAGAGCATGTTACACCTAGTAAAAGTCATCATTTCCTGTATTCCCCCTGATTACAGAACTAAACACTATTTTGCACAAAACACAATGTTTAACAGACTTTTATAGCATTGTACTTTTAAGATTTAATTATAGACTAACAAAACTTTAACCAGTAAATCAAGCAGACCAGGAAAGCAAGAGGAAAGGAGAGACCACCCTTTAGTCGACACAGCTGCTTCAATGACAAGATCAGAGCAGCAAAGAAAATTGAACCTCCAGTGATAGACACATATTAAGAGCAGACTTAAGTAAGGTTTGCAAACGGGCAGCATGTCTTCAGACCATATATCAAGCTCAGTTCTGCCACAGACTTGTTCTGTGACCAGTGGAATTGTTAATTTATTTTACCTAAGTAACACTCAGCTAGGTTTTGCATCTTAGCAACGAAGTGGATTTGTTTGATGAGCCCCTTGCAACTCCACCAGCTAATCACAGTGCCTTTGGCTGGGTGGTACATTACCTTTGAAGTTAAGAGTCTCTGAAAAGTTTACCATAAAGAAGCCAAGTTCTCCAAACTCAGAGGTATAAACGCAAGCTTTGATATTAAAATTTCAATTTAAATTGCTAAGCTTAGTTGATAAACTTACAAGGTTGGATTCAGGGCTTTAAGAAAGAGAAGTGACATTTTTATTTCTCCTCCTTTCACAGAGAAATTTGTTAATGGATTTCATTAGTTTCAGAAGACATCACAGCACTGCACTTACAGTCACTTTTAGGGATACAGAAACAGGAATCTGTTAAAGAGGGCAGCAAAACTTCAGGGAACTTCCAGGAAGGTCTGCTTAGAACTAGGGTTATCATCAGTGTTCTTAATGGCTCATCTACACAAGGGCTTGACTCCCGTTCCAATGATTCATGATCAAACACTCAAGAACACTCTGGAAATCACCCTGGATGATCAATAATAAAGTGAGCTCCACATTGGTCTTCTCCTGTCCACGGGCAGAAACATCTGGGGAAATGAAAGGGTCTCCCCACTCTCCTACTCACATAAAGATCCACTGCCCAAAAGGCTCCAGACTTCCCCCCTTGTCTCCTCCCACGCCACTCGGCCAGTGAACCAGGACTCTCAACATTCAGGAAGACTCCAAATCAGAATGAAATTCCTCACAACCATAAAAGCATACTTTACATACAGCACTTCCATGAAAGGCCACAGTTACTACTCTGACACAATATGTTCATTCATATACAAGCAACAGCCCGATGAGGGGCCGGCACTCCTACTCATCCCAGCTCTCTGGTGGGTGAAGGGTGGATTCTGGTGTAAATACCACCAAAACCACCTATCTGAAGGTCTACGCTTCCTGTCTCCCCTTTATGTAGTAGGGAAGCAAAAATAAACAGGAGGCATTTTCTCCTAAGCCTGTCTTTCTAAATTGCCCCAGATCTTTTCTGAGATGAAGGGTCAGTCTTAGACTTAGCCCATACAGAATCTGGAAGAACCAAGGACTAACATCTGCATGCACAAACTAAAGGTTGCCTGGGAACATTCCCAGGCTCTGGAAAACCACCATGCGCACTCCAAAGGACATTGCCCAACACGGGCCCATGCCAACAAGCTCTCTCCCACACAATTCCCAGAGCACAGGATTGGGACCACCGGCACTGGGCAGTTCCGAGGCAGCCCCCCTGTCCTGGGAGAGGGGATTGAAGAGCGTGGACGAGGGCAGTTGGGAGGCAGTTGGCCCCAGTGCCTGAGAACATTCCCAGGCACGTTTAATTTATTAGGAGAGTAGCAGCCAAGACATATCACCATTTAACCATTAGCAAGCAGCTTGCCCTCAAACCAGAGCCTTGAAGCACACTTCAGGCTTCATGTGTTGTAGAACAGGGATTTTTGTTTTTGAATCCACTGTATATGGCAGCATTGCTAAGCCATCGCTGTTTCCAAAACACTGTTTGACTCCTGCATCCAAGATGGACTTAAATCTTTCCTGTGTGGACAATTCCAAGCTAAAAATTTGAAACGAATATAATTCCTCCAACCGGAAAGGATGCTTTCATCCCAAGGAGCGTTTCCAGTGCTGTTCTCAAAACAATTTGTCCTGTTTACATAAACAAGGTCTCAGTTAGACAAAAGCTGGCATTTCTATCTTTTCAATAACGGCTTAGATGAGCAAATTGCCACATTCTGTGGCTGCCAGCACTCCCACAGCAAGCTCGCTTCAACACTAGATTGCTGCTTTTGCAGACACAACAGAACTGGCGAGTTTATAAGGGACTTTAGGGATCTAAAGCATCAAATTGGCTCAATTTCCCCCATGTCTTGAAGTTCTAACAAGAGAAAGCTATTTCCAGGAAGAAGGAGAAACATTCAAAGAATACCTGCAAGGGAAAACAGCTCCCCTTAGAGACCAAGAGATTTTCAGGGAAAAGACAAAGCTCTAGCAAACATCTGGTTAAGCTGTTACTCTAAACCTGGGACAACTTAGTCCTGCAATTCAAATCTCTGGGCTGAGTAGAAGACAGATGTGAATAAAGGGTCAGATCGTCATTACTGGGTGGAACTGAAGCTACTTCCGTCGGAGCCTTTCCCTAAATGGAAAGGGTTGCAAGAGTTGGCAACGCAACTTGACTTTTTATCTGCTTATAAGGAGCAGCATCTCAGATGATATTATACAGCTCTGGCAAGGAAAATCTTTAATGTGGCTATCAGCATGCAACAGTACAGAGCATGCCTTCAATTCTTCCATTTCATCATTTCCTTTAACAGGAAAATCTGAGTTCCAAAAAACCCTACTCTGGGCAAGAAATTACCTCAACAGCAAAGAGCTGTAGTGATGTTTTGCAAACTGGGGACAAATGCCAAAACAGCCTTTCTTTTAGTAAGATAAAAAATAGTGACATATAGAAGAAAAATGATGACATGGGAAGAACCCTAAACATCACAGATAAACAAAAAGTATTTGCATTACTTAAATCTACATATTACAGATGTTGACACTAAGCAGCATCAATAATGCAAACCATACTGGAATAGCAACAATATCCATAAACCTACTACAAAACTGATTGGCACCCCAATTCAAGTGCAGAAGAGTTATTTCCCTACCAATAAACAACGGACATGGACAAATGCCATTTGAACCTTACTGCTAAGTATACAACTGCTTGTTTTGATCTATTACATCCCTGTTTGAAGAATCAACATCAATATGAAATTCCATACTAGCCAGATATAAACTACCCAGGATGAAGTTGGATAAAATAGCACGCTAGAGTTACATCCAGGAGGCCAAATATGTGGATGGACAACATCCGAAATGGAACACACTGCTCAAAAACAGATTATTGCATTTGGAATATAATTAGGTGGCAAAGGACACTGACTCACCTAGGTAAAAAAGGCAACAGGATAAGGCTACCATTCCCAGGTTTTTGGAAGCTGGCCACTACCAACCAGCATATTAACGATACTATGCAACAGCAGAACCTCATCATCATCAATTCAGACATCTATTTGATCACGACAAATTCAGACACCCATTTGCGTTCTGCCGTTGTCTGGCACCAATTCCAAATTAGAAGCTTCAGTAACTGGAGAGGCACCTACCCCAGGATAGCCCTCATGAACAGCCAAATGCCACCTAATAAAGCCACCTCAGCTTGGTGCTCAAGGTAGGTCTCTTAGGTTTAGTTTCTGAGCACTGCTCAGGGCTGGATGTACTGATTTGCAGATCCAAGCAAGTGCAAGTGCTGCCTGGACAGCGATGGCTACAGCAAACAGTGCAAGACGTCCCTGTGACTTTCCCCTCGTGCATCTGCAAAGCAGAAGGACTGTTCAAATAAAAGTAGGGATTAAACTGGCAAGACTTGGCAACGACTGAGATTATAGCTGAAAGAATCTGAAGTCAACACAGTTTTGAAGAATGCATGAACTCAAAGGAATCAAACACTGCCACTGTCATGCTCTGGCTGGCATCCCTTTGCTAATATAAATTTATTACGACCGTTTTAAAGAGTGACAGAATGAAGAAAGCAACCATACCAACCCACCACTACAAGTGCTCCTGGTATTAGCCAGGCTACATGCTCTAGTTACTTTTTTTGTACTAAATGCAGTGCTTGCAACAATACTACTTCAGATGCAAGTTAGGCAGAACCACTTCAAAGATGATACACTTCAAAGTGGGATACAAAATAGCAGAAGCTCTACACAGAAGTCATTAAATACTGTCACACTTCAGAGATAACCAGAATTCCACTTTATTTCTGCAAAGGAGTGGAACGGCTGTAAAGCAGCTAAAAAGCAAGGAGTTCAGTAGACCACCTCCTTTTTACCTGAAGCACAAGTACTAGAAAGAACAAATTAAACTACAGAAGCCAATTGCTCCTACTAGTCAAAGCCCATAGTACTCAGGGATCACTACAAAATAGTCCTGGGCATTTAACCTGCTCAGTTTTGAAGTAATAAACTGAATTCCTAA